CCCCCAGAGGCGCGCCTCAGGGGTCCGGGCCTCCCTCTCCTGGGCAGGGGCGCACGGGTGGCCTGGGCTCCTAGGGCAAGGGAGAAACCTGTGCAGCGTAGCCAGGAAGGGCGCTGCTTTGAGCTCTGGGTGACAGGCCCCTGCGCATAGCAGCCCCCCGTGGAGGGCCCCCAGGGTAGTTGGGGGTCTTGTTGGGAGGCTTGAGGAGAAAGTCCCTGGAGGCCCCGCAGCCGCTGGCCTGGCCAAGCCCGGGCCCAGCCGCCCCCAGAGGTACCCAAGGGGCCACCTGAGTTGCCCACCCACCTCCTGTCCGGGGGGCCGGGCTCCTAACACCCCATTCCGCCCCCAGTGCAGGGCTCACGACCTGGGAAGAATGTACAGCTGACAGAGAACGAGATCCGTGGTCTGTGCCTCAAATCCCGGGAGATATTCCTGAGCCAGCCCATTCTTCTGGAGCTGGAGGCTCCCCTTAAGATCTGCGGTGAGGCCCCCCAGGACCTTTTGGCTTCCTGAAAGTGGCATTGCCGCCCTCCCCAAAATTCCTGAATGCCTCTTCCCTCCACCCCATTTCTGGTCCTGGGTTCAAGTGCACATCTGGCACCACCTAGCTTACTCAGTTCCCTGGGTCACAGGTGACATCCACGGCCAGTACTATGACCTCCTGCGGCTGTTTGAGTATGGTGGCTTCCCTCCAGAGAGCAACTACCTCTTTCTGGGGGACTATGTAGACCGGGGCAAGCAGTCTTTGGAGACCATCTGCCTGCTACTGGCCTATAAGATCAAGTACCCTGAGAACTTCTTCCTGCTGCGTGGGAACCACGAGTGTGCCAGCATCAACCGCATCTATGGCTTCTACGATGAATGTGAGTGGTCTGAGTGTTGGACCCAAACTGCATACAATACTCTTCATGGGACCCTGGCAGATCCCTGGTGGGCTGGTCATTTCCTGCCCTGTTCTCTTGGCCTGAGTGAGGCCTGGCACCAAAGAGGGGTCTGGTGAATGGATGCTGCCTGGAGGACTGTGCATTTACTACACTTCCCACTAAGGCCCTGCCTGGGAACACACCCCTCCAGGATATCCTTTACTTAGGCACTTAGGGTGCTTGTGCTTTTGTGGCCTGGTCCTACTCCTGGGGTGGGGGAAGGTTCTGACCCCCAAGGTTGAACCAGATTGGAACCCAGATTTTTACAGACTCGGGTGCTTTAGAATTACTCCTAGATGACTGGTAGGGGCCAGGTGTGGGCTTGAGCCTTCCTTGCCTTCCAGTCTCCTTTTCTAGCTTACCCTGAACACTCACAAAGTACTCTGGAGGGCCTGGAGAACCAGGATGGGGTGGGCAGGCCTCCCCACAAGCCATCTCCTTCCCCTGGGCAGGCAAGAGACGCTACAACATCAAACTGTGGAAAACATTCACCGACTGCTTCAACTGCCTGCCCATTGCAGCCATTGTGGACGAGAAGATCTTCTGCTGCCATGGAGGTGAGGGTGGCTGTGGGCACATGCTGAGAAGCACAGGACACGTCCCTGGGGCCTTCGAACAAAGCTCTTAGCAGGACTATTCCTAGTTGTCTCAAACAGCTCTCCTTAGGTCTAATCTTGGATGTCACTGACAGGAAGTCCCCCTGTGCCACACTGTTAGGCTGCACTCTTTTCCTGTTGTAGCATTCTGCATCCTGCAGTGTCTTCCTTCAGGGAGCTCTGGGCTTGAGAGTTAGGACATCTTTGTACTTATGCTTGGGACTTGAATCTGCCTGCCTGGGCTCCTGCGACCAGGAGAAGGGCAGTGTGGTGGGAAGTGAAGCTGGTTCCCAGAGGCTCCCTGGGGCAGGGAAAAGGGGGACATCTTTGTTTTGATGCTTGTTTGAGGAAATGTCCTGTCCCCTCAGGCCTGTCTCCAGATCTGCAGTCCATGGAGCAGATTCGGCGTATCATGCGACCCACAGACGTGCCTGACCAAGGCCTGCTGTGTGACTTGCTGTGGTCTGACCCTGACAAGGATGTGCAGGGCTGGGGCGAGAATGACCGTGGCGTCTCCTTTACTTTCGGGGCTGAGGTGGTGGCCAAGTTCCTGCACAAGCACGACTTGGACCTCATCTGCCGGGCACACCAGGTGGGCCAGCAGCCCTGGTTAGGGGCAGGAAGGACAATGGGAAAGCCATGCTTGTGGACCTAACTGCTCCCATCCTGCCCAGGTGGTAGAAGATGGCTATGAGTTCTTTGCCAAACGGCAGCTGGTAACACTTTTCTCAGCTCCCAATTACTGTGGTGAGTTTGACAATGCCGGTGCCATGATGAGTGTGGACGAGACCCTCATGTGCTCCTTCCAGGTAGGTGTGGGGAAGGGGCTGCTGGGCCCTGTGGCCCAGCACTGTGAGCCTGATTATCTTTGTCTTTTAGATCCTCAAGCCCGCTGACAAGAACAAGGGGAAATATGGGCAGTTCAGTGGCCTGAACCCTGGAGGCCGACCCATCACCCCACCCCGCAACTCCGCCAAAGCCAAGAAATAACCTCCGTGTGCCACCCTCTGCCCCAGATGATGGATTGATTGTAGAGAAATCATGCTGCCATGGGGATCACACAGGCCCCTTAGGCCCACCCATCACGGGGAACATGGAGCCTTGGTGTATTTTTCTTTTTTTAATGAATAAATAGCAGCGTCCAATCCCCCAGGGCTCCTTCCCACCTGTACCTGCGGTGGGTACAAGTGGGATCCTGGGGCTGAGGCTGCAGCTCAGGGCAATGGCAGGCCAGATTGTGGGTCTCCAGCCGTGCTTGGCCACAGGGCTGGCAGCCGGATCCTGGGGGAACCCATCTGGTCTCTTGAATAAAGGTCAAAGCTGGATTCTCTCCATGTCCTCTGTCTCTCTTGTCCCAAACACTGGGCTGGCAGCCTTTCTGCACAGAAACACTAAGGCAGGCAGGCTTGCTGGGCACAGGCCCAGCCATACACTTGGGTCCAGAGGCTCTTGGAATTCCAAGCGAGGGCCAGATGACAGTGAAAAAGCAAGAGAAACAGTCCTTTCCATCCACAGTGTCCCAGAGATGTGCCCAGCATTTGTGGGAAGGGCATTCATGATTGGCAGAGTGGATCAGCAGGGGCAGGAGCCCCATTGTGATTTTTTTCCTAGGGAGGAAAGGGAGGGAGGCAGGCTTCCAGCCCTGGCCAGATGGCCACAGCCTGGCCTGAGCCTAAATGGTAAATAAGAGGTAAGGAACCTCCTGTCAGTGTAGCACAGCACTCGGCCAGGGAAGAGATGTGACTGGTTGCAGGCTGTGGGGATGGCAGGACTCAGGCCAGGCAGGTGAGCTGGGCAGCCCTGCAGCAGCCCGCCAGGTAGGTCCTGTAGGAGGCCGCAGAACTGCCAGCTCACTACCAGCACTGTCAGATTCTCTACTCTCCCCTGGACCGAGATCCAGCCCTGCCGCTGGCTGAGGCTTTTAGTCCACAGCCTTTGGACACATGCTTGGGGTTCTCAGTTCAGCCTTCACCATCACTGTCTTCAGCCAGCACAGGGTTGGGGCCCTGGGGAGAGTGGACTGGGGCCAGGATGGAGCCAAAGAACAGCGAGCGGAACTGGAAAGAGGAGAAAGCCAATGAGCTCTCTAGGCGGCTCCTTCCTCACCTCCCAGCCCCTACCCCCAGCCCTACCTTCTTGGGTGGGGGAGTCCCAGGCACTGTACTGGGCTCAGCTTCATCTTCCTCCTCTGAGGCAGGGCCAGGGGAAAGGGAAATGGAGGGCAGTGCCCGTGGGCCCTCACTGCCTGCAGTGGTTTCCATAGCGATCATGTAAGAGTCAATGTCATCACTGGCAAAGTCATCTAGGTGGGATGTGCTGTAGGCAAAAATGGGAGTATCAGAAGCAGGGAGAGAAAAGGGGGCATAGGAAGGCCCCACCCTGGAGGGCTCAGAGAAGGCTCTGGGGCCTCAAAACTGCTGCTTTTATTACTTCCTGATTGGCTGGAGAGAGAGGATGCAGGGGTTAAGTGGGGGCTTCCTGGAGGGGGTGGGCCTGGAATCCCTTTGATCCAAGTTCTAGTAGGGGCCTGAGGGAGGCATCCTGGGGCTAGTTTAGCTCAGCTGGGGGAAGGGAGCAGCAAGTCCTGAGCATGAGGCCACATGGGGCCCAAGCCCCCACCTTCCCAGGGGGACAGAGCTGGAGAGCACCAGAGCCCAGGGATGTGCTGGGCGGGGGGCCAGGCCAAACTTCCTCTGCCTGGGCCCGTCCTCCCCAACCCACCTGCCCTTCTAGCCACCTGCTTCCCCTACCCCAGGAAGCTCCCTGCCTCCCAGCAGCCCTTTTCCTCCTTGGCCTGGGAGGAGGCTCAGAGGGAAAGCCTCAGCCAGAGAAGGAAGTCAGCTGGACCTTGGGGATGCCTCCCTGGGTGGGAGGGGTCTCTGAGTACAGCTGACCATGAAGGCTGAGCCGGCAGGGCTGGGGCCTGACAGGAAGTTTGTGTGTGTGTGTGTGTTGGGGGGAGGTGCACAAGCTGGAAGCAGCAAGCTCATGCTGGGGTGCACGAA